GACATTATGCCTCGTCTGACCAACCCGATGCTGCAAAACGCGCCCGAAAATTCTAACATGGGCAACATTGACATCTTTGATGGCTTCGGCAATGCGGGCATGGCACAACCTCCATCTCAGATGCAGATGCAGATGGATACCGACTACGAAAGGAAATTTTCCGTTGCCGATTACGAAAAGAAGTATGGCGTGTCCGACATGAACAGCAACGGCAGTGAGGCCAATACCATTCCTGCCACGTCTGCCAGTGCATCATCCGTTCCTCCAGCGACTACTGCGGATATGAATTCGCCTTTTGCCAGCAGTTCGCCCGCCATTATGTCTCCACCAATGGAGTATCCCCACAACGGAATGAACGACTATGGATGCACGCCGATGCCCGATATGGTCATGAGTCCGGCCGGCCAAAACGGATCGGCGATGAACAGTCAAAGCAACATGAACAATCAGCATCAACACCAGCAATCGCATCACATGATTCAGAACCACATGACGCCACAGCAAATGCAGCCCAATATGGGCCAGCATCACATCCACAGCATTCAGCAAGGGCAGAACATGGGCAATATCAGCCCACCATCAGTTCAGTCCCAGCAGTCGATGCCAACATCACATCCTATGGGACCAGGCGGAAACAACCTCATGAATTCCATACCGCGTCAACAGCCGCAGCGCGCCAGTAGCTATGCTATCCCGCAACAACCTATACCACGCACCGTTGGAGACTTCCACGCACTGCAGCGGGCCAATTCCGATATGCCTGGTCTCTCCGGCATAAGTACGGAGATGGATTTCAATACCTTGCGGTGATGTCGTCTGTAAGCGTTGCCAGCGTGTATTCAGATTGGGACACCTCGAACACATCGCTTTTAGTTGTTTTTCACTTGATTTCTTTTCTTTGTCAGAAGCGCTGGCTATCTCTATCATGTTTTACCATTTTCTAGATCTTTGCTCTTTTTGCATTCATTCCACCATCTTCGGGATGGGGCGCGGGTTGACACCGCCGCCACTTGAGGATCAGCAGGGACGGTAGCAAAACAAAAAAATTAGGTGCCTTGGGTTTGGGGACTTATGTTGCGAAACATGGACTTCTTGTATAGGCTTAGGGTCATGGACACTCTCGCATCTGCCGGTTGGGGCATGGGAACAGGAGTTTTCAAGGCGTTTGAAAGTGTTTGCAACGTCAAGAGGAGGGAATTAGGATATATGAGCATGGCCGACATGGGAGCGGGTATTTCGGCTACGGCCGAAGCTTGGTTGCGCAGGCAGCGGCATTTCTGCCGACTCCCATGATCGAAATGAGAATTAGGAACTTGTCAAGTCTGCAAGCTTGCAATATTAGCATGCGTCTGCCTCTAAGGAGACTGGATAGACGAATTGAAGACATTAGATTGACTTTACTTTGCCTTCGCCCTCGTGGTGTGGCCCCATGTGAATGTGATTGCTATGGGTTATGCGGTACATACTAACCTTGCCCCTTCCCCCGGCTTACTCTGGGCTAACATGAGATATAATGCTTTAGATTCACGCTGTCTCGTCACCTCACAGCGAGCAAAACGTCAGCCCACAGCCTCGCAGCCCATATATCTCTTTCTCGTGCTCGGCGATGCGTATCAAGTACCCTTTTCACCACCGCGGGAGACCACTTACTCCATGGCTCCCATACCCCTTTATAGTACCCGTATATTATCTTCGTCTCGCTGGCTCCTTCATCTTGATCGTCATGACTCAAGTGTGAGCATAAAGAACTCATAGAGCAGCGGTCCGCTTGCCGCGTCTGGAATGAAAGCTGCTCATCCTCCTGTTGCTGTTTTCTATTGGTCGAATTCCTATTATGGGCTGCCACTTGAGATTGGATACTGATCGTAGACCCAATCTGGCAAAGCGTCCTCTCCGCTTGTTCAACGTCACCGGCATCGAGAAGGGCAGTCGCCACGCCGAGCAAGATCCTGCAAGAGAGCTGGTAGTTGTCTTGTCTCAAGGCCTCCGTCGCGGCTGCGGTGTATCCCCTGATGACGGCGCGAAACTCGCCCCCGTCCACGTTGCCGAGGAGTCTGAGCAGGGAACACCGCATGATGAGGACATCTAGGGCATGTTCGCTGTTGAACCCAGTCTCAGTCTCAAATTGCAGACATATTACGGCAAACACACTCCTCAACGTCTCAAGACGGATCTCTTGCGGGAGGTCTCTAAGTTTGAACCATACAACGCTCAATGGGTGCTCCTCGCCTAGAATCTCGCAGTGAATGGCATGGATGTACCGGATAGAATATTCCAACACCTGGATATTGCCCTGCAACGTGAGGATATTCACAAGCATGGAATAATAAAACCGCGGTTCGCGAATCAGGAGGACGTGCCGGAAGGAAGCAAGCACGCGGCGGAGTGTGCGTAGGCCCGTGGGGATCTGGTTCCGTTGGAGCAGGCCTGGGACTTTTCCTATTTCTGTGAGGGTCTGTACGACGTGGATGAAGTCGTTTTCGCAGAGGTGTGCGTCGTCAAGGATCCAGGTGCCGGTTTGGAAGGCGTAGGTGTGGTATGTGCTGAAGAGGTGGAGGACGTTGGACTGGATGTCTGTGTCTAGGGACGGGGAAGGGGTTAGGAGGGAGGGGAGGGGAGTGATGATGGTTGGGGATGCGGAGGAGGCGTGTAGCACTGGACTTCGACTTGGGGACGGCGAAGGTGTTCTGCAGGTGATTTTACGCTTCAAGGTGGTGGCGGTGGTACTCTTGCCCGGCGTGCGTTTTCGCTTGATGGTAGTGTTATGCAGGTCGGGTCTGCGCTTGAGGTACTGTTCCACGCGGTCCCAGTCGACGTCCTGGTCTTCGATGCTGAAGCGCGAGTCCTTTCCCGCCGCTTGGCGCTTTCGCTTAAGTTCTAGCATGTGCAGGACTTCCGGTTCTTTGAGCTTTTTGTCTAGGCCCCATCGAACGATGCGGGACTTGAACATCCTCTCTCTATAGAGGGACTTGATGGTTAGTTCCCATTCAAGAGCCCGAGCGACGAAGAGGAAGAAAACATATCTACTTCTTCCGTTATGAGGAGGTTACAAGTAAGTAAATATCAGCTCACGTTGCGAAGAAGAAGTGGTCTCGTTCCATGATGGCCTTCACCTCCTTCAACGATTTGCCCTCGCTTTGGTAGAGTCGGGTGATGGTGGCTTGCATGACTTTCCAGACTTCTTCCGTGGCGTACGGCGGGCTCTTGACTAGGCTGATGCCGACCGTATCAGAGCAAGCGTCTAGTATTATATCGTCGTCGTATTGGGCGGCGGCGGCCGTCGCCGGTGCAAACATTCTCACACCCGATTCTGCGTGAGGGGTTTCACGATGTGCAATGGTGGAAGACATGGGAGATCATCCACTGTAGGGCTGAAAAAGAAAAGTGAGGGAAGTTGGGTGATTGGGGAGAAGAGCCGCGCTGTTGAGAGGGCTAGGAGGAGGAGAGTTGGCGAGACGTGAGCTCGTAAGTTGCTGACAGTACGAGATAACGTTGCCGGGACCCGGGGGCAGAGCCGGGCCCCACGGCCGAGCCGCATCCAACGTTACCACGTTATCTTATTGGCTCAGAACAAAAGAACTTTGCATTTACTAGACCGGCAACATTCGGGCTGGTACCCTGGTCAATATACTACGACTGCTTCGCGTCTTATTGGTCCTGGACAGAAAGACGTTGCATGCCTGTTGGAAGGATAATGTTGGGGGACAATTTAAAAGGCTGAAGGATCCGACAGATACTTGAAGCAGGCTAGAGGGAGCTGTCGAAACACTTTGCTAAGTCTCATCAACCCGGAAGGAAAACCAACAGTGCCTGCATGGATATTTCAGCAACAGTATACACATGCAGTCGCAAACATGGCACTGCTAGTGTGAGCAGCAACCGACTCTAACTGTATTCCAGAAAAATGATGGTTTCGAGTCGGCGCCGATTGATTCAGCAGCTTACAGGGTAAACTTAGGCCTTGCCACCAGATGCAAAGACTATGTGCCCATTTCTTTGGATATGCCTCGTGGATGCTTCCGTGGCGTCCTACCAAATACAGAAACTCTTAGCTAGGCAGATCGTACAGCCATAGAGAAGGAGCTGATTGGAGAAAGAGAGGCTTTGCAGGATATATAAGAAAGATGTAATACGTAGGTCCAGATGACAAATTTGCTTCGGCGCCGAGAGAGTCAGGCTGCTACAGCCGTACACTCCAACCAGCAGGTGGACTGCACCTGTACGCCTACTATGAATAGAAGCACCGCATGAATGACAAGAGTGAATAGTGACGAGGCATGTCTCTCCGATCAACGCTCATGGGACAGCTCAAGACAGTGATAAATATCTTGTGAATTTTGTGAAAGAGTTCAGAAGAGAAGCATTTTGTGTGCGAATATGCGTTATGGAAGGGAATACTTGGGCCGCCGCGATAGCAATCAGTCCGCTCTATCCGAGGGAATAGGACAAGTGGACTTTAAATTTATTCAGATGTATGCCGGAGGTCATAATGTAGCACTGTATAATCCTACAGAGGCAGGCTGTCATGAATCCACCGCTCATCAGTCCCAGAGAAAGAGACCTATGAACAGCTGGCAGCGAGGCTGAACACTGTTGACCAATGTGGTGATGCTCATAAATCGGAGGTTCTAGGAGAGAGTGTCAGCAATGACTTCGCCTTCACTTATCTGGCCGTTTCTGAGATGAATCTGCAGTTTCGCTCGGCTCAGGATGACTCTTGGAGTTGATATACATAAAATATTGAAATGAGGCGGAGCGTAGGATCGGATAACACCCAAAGTGTTACCATATGAAGCCATAGACTGTTATCCGTAGATCTAGAACCCCTTCCATTTTCAGTATAAAATAAGGAGAAGATGCACAGGGTCGTAGGAGAAGATCTGGTCCATCATCCTCTCATCTAACTAACTCCAGTACCCGAACCTCCATAAAAGCTTTTTCCATTCAAGCATTGAACCCCTCACACCTCTATCTAACACCCAAAAAGACCTAATTCCAAGATGCGCTACACCGACATTCTCCTCATCGCCACCACATCTGGTGCCATAGCAGCGGGCCTCGAAAACCGTGGTCTCTTAGCATGCGTTGATACCGTAGCAGAGCACAGATCCGTCACCATGGACCTTCCCACCCTGTCCGCGACTGGTATCGACGAGGACGACATCCCAACCATCACGAAAGCCTGCGAGTTGCCCACGCTCACAGGTACTCACGGCTCTATCTTGACCTCGTTCACCTCCAGGCTGAAGTCTTGAACGAGCGCTCAAAGCAGCGAGCTCAGCGCTGTCTGGTCCGCTTGCAAGGACGAGGACTTTGTCGGCAAGATTACTTCTCTTGCCGAGAACTACGGCCCTGTTTGCTCGGCTGTAGCAGATTTCAGTCATTCCCTCGATGAAACTACAGTGGTTGTGACTACGACCGCTGCCGGTACTGCGGCTACTGAGACTGGAGTCGCAGCTACTGACACCAGAGGGGCGGCGGCTGCTGCTACGACCAGCTTGCCCAACGCTGCGTCGCGAGAGGCGGGGATTGTTATGGTTGCTGTTGCGGCTGCTGGAGTTGTCTTTGCTGTTATTCACTTGGAGAGACTTTCTATTTGACACCCGAGAAGGGGAGCAACGCTATCGGCCGTCTTGCGATGCGATACATGTGGCTGATGTTGAATCACATTCCTTTTGTATAACTTGACGCTCATTGAAACAGGAGGACGATATTGGGAGTGGATCTAGTGCATCATTCAATTTGTGATAGAAGCGGGGGGATGCACGAAGCGTCATCTTGGAGCTTGCAACAGCTTTACTTTGATTTCAAGGTTGGAGAACGGCCAATGAGATATATTGTTTTTTGAAATTTGTATCCTTCTTTCTCTTCGTCTTTCCTAACAATATCAATACTATTACGTCTTAATTTGCTTCCAAGATGTCCAGCATTGTTATTCTACTTTAATACCGATGTTGCCTGCCACAAATCAGCATACACCCAGGTTGGACATGAAGTCGTGTATTTTTGATGAGCGAGATTTTGTGTGACAGACAACATGTTTGCCGCCCAATACCCCTGCCTAGCTCCTCTACTGCCCGCCCAATTCGAACAAACATCTATAGACAGAAACCCTGCGCCCCCGTGGATGTCCCATCTCTACACCGCCGTGTCGTTTCCCCTTCTTCTCCGTTCGTTTTCCACGGATAACCCCAGTCGTCACTGTACTTCTCGATCAGCCGTCTACCTCTTGCGAAGAACATCCTGAGTTCCAGTCATGTCCTGGATGGATTAATCTCTGTCCCGCTGCAACAATGACGCCGAGACTGCACGAGCTGACGGCAACTCAAGTGCTTGAGCTGCTACAAAATAACACAGTCACGGTGGAGACATACGCGCGGGGGCTTCTAGACCATATCAAAGAGACTGAGAGCATCGTAAAAGCATGGGCGTTTCTTGGTGAGTTTGGAGTTTTGCGAAATGCAGAACTTTCTAATATGTCCTAGACCCTGGGCTCGTAATTGCTCAAGCTCGGACTCTCGATCAAGTTCCTGTCGGCGAAAGAGGGCCTCTGCATGGTCTTGCCATTGGAGTCAAGGACATTATGAATTCCAAGGGTAGGATTAAGCTTCGAGGTGTAGTCTATCACTCACACAAGTTAGATATGCCCACGGAGTATGGTTCTCCCATTTATCGAGGGTATCAGCCAAGTTCTGATTCCGCTGCCGTCGCAACCCTTCGCGCCTCGGGTGCTCTAATCTTTGGCTCGTGTTCCTTTGTTCGCTGTTCATCCAGACTCTGACTACGCCAACAGGCAAAACTACGACGACCGAGTTCGCTGTGACAAACTCAGGACCTGACACTACAAATCCTTGTGATCCGAAGCGCACCCCTGGAGGGTCTTCGTGCGGATCAGCCGCAGCTGTGGCGGCGTTGCATGTTCCGCTCAGTCTCGGATCACAAACCGGAGGAAGTCTTATTCGCCCAGCATCATTCACGGGAGTCTATGCTCTCAAGCCGACCTTTAACACTATCTCGACAGAAGGCCAAAAAGCAATCGCGCCCATATTCGACACATGTGGATTCTTTGCTCGATGCGTAGAAGACTTGAAGATCCTCGCTGATGTTTTCGGCATCGAAGATGATGAGCCCGCAAGGGATATGCTACTGGGAGAAATGTCAATTGCTCTTATGAAGACTCCAATGTGGCCCACGGCAGGACCTGGCACTATATCTGCCATCGAGGCGGTCACAGTAATCCTTCGAGAAAGAGGAATCAAGGTTGAAGAGGTCTCATTTCCACCTGAAATATCGGATCCCGAGGAACTAGATAGACTCCAACAAGTCATCACTCAAGCTGAAGCCCGGATTTCCTTTCTCCGAGAATATCGAATTGACAAGGACAATCTGGCTCCAGAGATTTGCGAGATAGTCGAGAACACCGCCAGAATAACGCATAAAGAGAGGGAGCAGGCTTCTGACAGGTATTATCACATGCGACGCATCATCAATGACTGGGCCAGAGGGTACACAGTCATCCTCGCCCCTAGCGCAGAAGACGAGGCTCCTGTTGGGCTCGGTGACATGGGTCGCGCGACCTTCAACACGATGTGGACGGTTAGTGTTCCTCTATACCTATCAGTCACTCTTCAGGCTGACATTCTACAGGGGTTCCATATGCCCGTCGTCAATATTCCTGCTTTTTCTGGAGCCAATGATATGCCCGTCGGCGTTTCACTGGTAGGTCCGAGGTTCCGAGATCAACAACTTCTTACAACGAGCTTGGTCCTCGCTAGAGTCTTTAGAGCCCGGGTACCGAGGCAGCTGTCAGATCCCAGTTGAATACAAGTCGGCAATCACGGCAAATGCTAAGACTTGAGGCGAAAAGTCTGTTGGAACAAAACCTACTATGTCGCTTTGTCTATCCCACCAAACTCGGCTGACAGGATGGACCGAGGCGACTTCATGTCTAAGTGATTTGCTTCTTGTAACCCTTTTGGGAAAAGAGGAAATTCCAATTAGACCCTCATGATTCGACAATGTCCGCACGAGACATATCGCCAAGTTGAGATAAGCCAGATTTCACAGCCCGGGCATGTCTCGCATCCGTTGTCTCAACGCCAGGCTGAAGTGCGAAGGCACGTGAACAAATATACCCTTACTACCGAAGCAGCCATGGCGTGGCCACCTGAGTCGTTGAAACAGAAGATCTTCCCCACATTATTAGGCCTCGCCGGTCAGACCTCGTTAGTTAAGGAATAGCTCGAGGGGCATGAGGAGGGGGACTAAGTAACAAAGGAGCAGCTTAGGTATATATAGAGCGTTAGTAATATACCTCGAGGAAGGGCAGATTTTAGTAATTTATCTTTTAAACCTTAATAATAATTAACTTCTATAAGCTTCTTCCTTATATTATATATTTATTAATAATCTAAAATCTCTATTTATAAAAAGGACTAAGCTAAGAGCTTAAAATACTTATAAAAATAAGATATAGCGAGAGAGTATAATTAGTATTATAATAATAAAAAAAAAAAAATTTATTTTTATTAGACCCCCTAAAGTTACCTCCTCTTTAATAAACGATATAAAAATAGAGCATAGTAAGACGAACTTTATAATAATAATATAAAAAGACCGTATTACTAAGAGTATTAACGAATTTTAAATAAAATAGTAAACCTCTTACCCTTACTTATTAATACCTAAACTAAATAACTAATAATAAATTAATAAAACTATAAAAATAAAAACGATAATTAAAAAAAAAAATCCTTATAATAACGTATAAAGAGCGCTTACGTAAAAAATAAATAAATTTAAAACGCTTATAGAGCTTTTTAAATAGCCCGGCCCCTATATTAAGAGCTACGGTTTTAATTATAATAACCTCGGACGTTAACTTCGATATAAACGGGAACGTAAACCCCTAGACTAAGAATAGCTTAATAAATAAAGCCGTACTTAAAATACCGCTCGAGTAATAATAAAATAACAAGTTTATATTACTTAAGCCTCCGTTTACTAACTCCTTTTTAATTTAAATAAGTATTATAAATAGAATATTTATATTTAAATTACTATCCTTCCCTAACCTATTATATATTAATAAATTAGTACGGGACCTATAGAGCTTTTTATTTAATTACTACTATTACTTCGACTTATAAGCTTAATAAATAAAAATAGACTTTAATAAAATAATATATATAGTTAACTACCTAAGTAGTAATATAAAGACCTCCTAAATATACTATATCTTTAACTATAAAAGGGTCCCTAGGTTTATAATAAACTAAGTTATATAAAAAAAACTAAAAACCTTTTTATAAAATAACCTATTTAATCCCGCTAACTAAAGGATAATAATAAATATATACTTAAATAGTACCTTATAAAGCTAAAAAAAGAGGGTTAATAAGTTCGTTAATTATATTAATAAGCTTAAAATAGAACTAAAATATATTTTAATAAAAAAATAGAGGATCTTTATATTAATAAGTAAGCTACGGCCTAAACTACGCTTTATAATAGTATTATAAATAAAACTTTTGCAAACTTACTTATAACTAATATTATTAATAAGACGTATTAAGTAATCCTTATTATTAATAAGGAGCTTATGAACGCCCCCTAAGTAATATTTTAACTTAAACTTAAATAAGTTAGTAAAGAAATACTGGGGTATTAATAAGCTAGCTACGTAAAAAATACGCCGTAACTTATTTAATAAAAATACTATATATTATAATTATAAAAAAACTAATTATATTATAAAGGATTACCTATAACTATAGGAGTAGTATTAGTAGTATTATAACTATAATAAAACTAAATACCTCGTTAATAGCTACCCTAGCGTTATATACCGTAAATATAACTAAAAAGGGTATAAAGTTACTAACTATTAATTAAACCTCGCTCTAGCTAAGTAGCGCGGACTAGTAATAAACTTAAATACTATTTTAATAAAAAGGGTAGTTAGTAATTAATAAAAGTAGTACTTAAATATCCTAACTTATATATACTTAAACTACGTATAAAAAAAGCTAAGCGCCCTTATTAATTTAGGAATAGAAGGGAACGTAATTAATATTAGGCTACTTAATAACTTTAATACTAATTTACAAATTTACTTATTACTATAGCTAATAAACGTTAAAAATAAATAAATAAAGACGCTAAAGAGCTACTACTTATAGCTTCGAATTACTAATAATAACTACGTAATAAAAATATAGTTATATCGCTTTATAATAACTAATATTATAGTACCTATACTTATACTTAGTTTTCTTTAGTTAAAAAATATTAACCCGCTAATTAATTAAAAATAAAAGAAATAGTAATATCTAATTTACGAATAATATATCTACTTAAACGCCCTAAAAAAGGGGCTACTAAATAACTTAGTTTCGGTAATACTCGTATATATTATAATTAACCTAACTATAAATAGTAACGTAATACTAGCGAGCATAGCTAAGGATTAAAAACTACGATACTAGGACTTTAATAACTTATTTTTAAAAAAGAAAGTTATCTCGCTACTAAATAGAATACTATATAATTACTATATTAAACTAAATAACGCTACGCCTATCTTTTAGGGACTTATTTA